TGGGAGGTCGATAAGGTTAGTATTTATTTTTTAAATATTTTAAAGGTGTTCATAAATAAGTGCGCAATTTGAATTATTACTTATGATTGCATGTGTTTATCCCTGTTTTGGAATGTACTCATTGGCTTCTCGTTGAGCTTCAGCTCCCATCCCTGAAGACAATAGTATATGACAGCATGATAAATTACATATCATTGCCTGATTTGAGAGATATTATTAAGGTATGGAGCTCTCATTTGGCTAAATTCTTGGATGCGATTAATTATTGGACTTATTCTGGAAACAAGAAACCAAAGAATTTCAATGTTACAGTTATCAGAGACGAGACCGCGCCACAACAAACACAGGAAACCAGAGGGGATTGTGGTCCTCTCGTATGCATGTGCTTGGAGCGTTTGACGACAGGAAGTACACAGTTTCTACCTCCCATCGATAGAGATAGAGGTGCAGTAGGCTTGTGGTTTCGGTATTTTATGGCTAGAGCGATATATGCGAGACGCTGCCTATCTGCATCCGCGTTATGAAAGTGTCCATAAACAATTTGTAAGTCAAATGCAAGTGTTGTTAAGTACCTAGAATTCTATAATAATTCTATAAAAAGTTTTGTTTAAGCAAATGTTTTGTTTCTGCAGGTTAATCCTAAAGTGAGCTGCATGAAATTGATGTATGGGTGTATAAACAACTGTCTGGGGTACATTTTTTTTATTGTTTAATTGATTTTTAAAAGTCTGATTTGTTTAATTGATGAGGAAAATAAGAATTATTAGTATTTTTTGCTTGTTTAATTGATTTGTAAAAGTTGATTTGTAAAAGTTGATTTGTTTAATTGATGTGTAAATAATTCTTATTTGTGCTTGTTTAATTGATTTGTAAAAGTTGATTTGTTTAATTGATGTGTAAATAATTCTTATTTGTGATTATTTAATTGATTGAAATGTAAACGTTGATTTGTTGATTTCAATCTGCATCATATTGAAGGCAAAAGACCTGTTGAAGGTACACTTTTGCAACGCTAAACTCAAATCGCAATACGAAAGTCAAAATCGCAATGCGAAAGCCAAAATCGCAACGCGAAAGTCAATTCGCGTTGCAATAGTCTAATACGCTTTGCGATTTTCTCGTTGCGATAGTCAAATTCCCGTTACGATAATCAAATTCACGTTGCGATAGTCAAATTCGCGTTGCGATAGTCAATTTCGCGTTGCGATTTTGGCGTTGCGATAGTCATATTCGCGTTGCGATAGTCAAATTCGCATTGCGATTTTTGAGTTGCGATAGTCAAATTCGCGTTGCGATATTCAAATGAATGTGTAATAAGTGATAACAACTGAACAGATCATAGCAATGTTCAAACTCAAGTTACTAATACATGCCTAACTGAAAATGTTAAAAGTTTACACATAAAATACACATAATACAACGTTTGCATTTAAAAATCACCTAAGTTAATAGTCCCAAAAGGTGAAGCCGGTTGTGATTGGGATTTTGATTTTGATTGCGATTTTGATTGCCTTTTTCTTGACACCATATGATCTTTGGATTTTGATGAGGATCCATATTTTGGTAGAGGAAAAGATGATTGTGATTGCACTGGTGATCCACATGTCAACCTTGTATGACCACTTTCCTTGCACCGACTACATGTCGATCTCTTCTTCTCTTCACCCTTAGACGGTATACGATCGTGACTTTTTGGTCGGCCAGGTAGCCTTTTGTCTATGGCTGGTGCCAAAACTGTTTGTAAGTCATCTGGTATGTCCCACTCAGAAGGATGTGGAATAGGGTAGATAATCTCGGCATAAGTCTGTCGATATACTTCTGTAGTGTAGCAATCCATAGCGTATGCGCTTGAATCATCTTGGTTTAGATGAAGAACAACTTTTATAACATGGCCACACGGATAACCAGATGTTTTCCATTTCATACAACTACACGTCTTTGCATTTAGATCGACAGACCCATTTAAGTTATTATCCAGTACTTCAAACAAAGTGTTTGAACATGGTTCAACTCTCCATGACGTTGACTTCACAACATGTTTCGTTATCTTTTTTTCAGTCCATGGTGTAACATGATGTTCCAATGTTCCTGTAAATTTAAATAAATAATTCTTAATAAAATGTATGATAAGTTACGAATTTAAAGAAATAATACATGCATGGTTTCTTTTCTTACAGTACCACTGTTGAATAGAGGCTCGAAAAAACTCTATTAACATAGTAATGGGTAATTTCCGGGAATGACGACTTATAGCGTTGATTGATTCTGCACTATTAGATGTCATGAAACCATATCTTGCTCCAAGTTGATGTACTCTTGACCATCTTTCAAACCGACATCTTCTAGTGTTTGAGCACACTGAGGCAAAACACGTCTTAAACAATTTATATACTTATTAAAATCCACTTCCCGATAAGCTTTTACAGCCTTCTAGTATGTCCATTTGTGATTTTTTATACCAGCAGACCTTGATTTTAGATTTCTATACAAATGAACACCACAAAGTCCATGAAAAACATATGGGAAACACCTTCTAACAACGTTGTCAATTGAGTTTGCCATATCGGATATGATTTTCAGATTGCTAATAGGACCTATGCAATCCCTAAGATGCCCCATAAACCATGTCCATGAATCAGAGGTTTTAGATTTGCCAACCCCGTAAGCTATTGGCAGTATCCCATTGTTAGCATCCATGGCTACTGCTAATAAGTTTACTCCAAGGTATCAACCTTTCAAATATGCTCCGTCAACTATAATAATTGGGCGCATGCAAGTAATAAACGAACGAATCTACAAAATCATATACACAAGAAATATAATCATTTAAATGTGAAATGCATGCAACTAACAAAAATGAGTCAACAAAATTATAATTATTTACTAACCGCAACACCAATGGCGATAAACAATAACTCAAAGCATCCATATCTATCTGTTTTGATATGAGTTACCGACCCAGGATTTTTCAGCTTTAAATTGTGACAATAAGCCGGCAGTTTGGCAAACGATGCTTCTGGCGACCCCCTCAACAATTCCAAGACATAACATTTGGCTCTCCAAGCTTGAGAATATGAGATACTAATCTTGAACCGAGCATTCATGTCAGTCATAATTTCATGTCCCCGATATACCCTGTCATTCAAAAACATTAACTCAGCTAGAAAACCACCCAACACCTTTTTGTTTGCCTGTCTATGGTGAGGAAAAACTTGGGTTCTTGAACATGTATGTTTATCAATAAAAGTCCTAACTTGAAACATTTCGCAATCTTTTATCCTCTTTGCAATCATACGCCACGTACAGTTTTTGTCAATCATACACCTTGTTTCAAAACAATCTTTGCTTGATTTGTTAACTTTTAGTTGATAGTCATCTTCCACATATTTCGTATACAAAGCTATCTTCAATTCTTCCTTTGTATCAAAACAATCATCTTTCTTGATACAAATAATTTTTGTGTAACAATCAACTGCTATCTTTACCAACTCTTCTTCCGGTATCTGAAGTAATTCTGGCATATTCCAGTTATACTCCAGTGGCATTTACTTCGGGGATTTCTTCTTATTCTTTCTCTTCTTCAGGGTTATATGAATTACAGAATGGATGTTCAACATGTTCATTCACAGTCGTAACTTCCTCCTCTTTATCATCAACAACATCTTTCTCGGCAGCGGCTGTTTCATCATCAAAATTCGGGTATTGACCAATATCAAAATCATTACACGCAGGGTCTGTTTCTTCTTCTGAAACATCATCAAAATCTGAGTATTTACCAAGATCAAAGTCCGGGTATTGACCAAGATCAAATTTCGAATACTGACTAGTACTCACAATTTTTTCTGTTGGCTCATCATCGTCTAACTGGTCAATACAAAAACCAGAATTTGATGCTGAAAGTTGATTGAGATTTGGATTAAGGAAAGGTTGTGGGTTTTGAGATTGTGTTTGGTATTGGAAATGTGGTGAAACAAAATTTTCTTGGTGATGAAATTGTGGTGGAACCATTAAATTTTGAGCACCATAAACTGGGGTTGAAAAACTTAGTTGATTACTACCCGCTACTGACCCAACTTCACTACTTCTAGGTTCAACAACATACAATGTAACATCATCTTGCGAAACACTAATGTAAGCAATGAATCGTTCAACATTTTCATTGTCGGTTAACAAATAAATTTTACATTTTCTCTGATAAGATAGCCTAAATCCACTTAGGGGCTCTAAATTCAAGTTATTTGCAACACGTAACATTAGAGTTTCATAAGATAACTTTTTTAATGACAGTTTTAGTTGAAGATTCATGGGTAAAGGCATATATTGTAAAACACCATGAACATTCTCTCATAACACTCAAAAACACAAATCTATTCAAACATGATCAACATTAAATGATTTCATTATTGTAAATTAATTTACTAAACAAACGAGCTGTGAAACTAAAACCTGTTGCCGGATGGGGAAGGATGTCGTTGGATATAAGAACGGATGTCGCCGGAGAGAGTGATATATGAAGATGGAATGAGTTACGATTTAAGGATTTAGGTTATGAGTTGTTGCTGCTGCGTAGTTGTATTCCCAAAACATTTGTGTTGCGAAACTAAAACCTGTTGCGAATTTGAAATTCAGCGTTGCGACAATCAAAATCGCGCGCGTTGCGATAGTCAGAATCATGTTACGATTTACATATTCGCATTGCGATTTTTTAAAATCGCAATGCGAATTTGGAAAATCGCAATACGATAGTCAAAATCGTGTTGCGAATTTGGAAATTGATTTGCGATACTGGAGATCGTGTTGCGATTTAGAGATCACATTGTGATTTTGTTGGTCATTTTAGCAAATCGAAAAAAAATTAGTCAAAATCGTATATTATAAGAAATTTTCGATCACTGAGGTTATTTTCTCTTTTTTATTTACGAACGAGGATATTTCAGAGAGTTTAGGCGTAAGAAAATTACAGAAAAGCCCAAGCCTTTGGCTTTGCCTGCCAACAAATGCCAAAAACCCCATTGATACCAAATGCCGAAGCCGCCGACTTGAACCTGGACCAACTTTCTCAATATATAAACAAGTAGACCATTAGAAAACAACAACTATAATTAAGTTTATAAGATTCAAAAACTTGGATACCCTCATTTTCTCCGCTCCGGCGCTCCCCCTACTTTGTAAGCCCCCTTTCTCTCTTTTTCTCTCCCCTTCTCTTTAATATTTTGCATGTACATCTTTATATCTGCATCTAGGATCTCTTGTTTGTCATCTCTTTTAAGGTCTGAATACTTGGTTCTGATATTTGGGTTTTTGCTTATTTCTGCCTTATCTAGGTTTTTGTTTTCTGGTTGAATGTGGTAGGAGTATGATAGTGCATTTCCTTGTGTTGGCTATAGTGAAAATTTTCAATTCTTGATTTGGAAAAGTTTGAACCTTGAAACACAGAGAATCAAAGGTGATGGTTTTTACACATGAGAAAAGTTTTATCATTTCTGTAGGTTAAGTTATTACTTCATCTTGGATGCTTTCCTAGTTTATTGTCTGAAATGTTAAATCCTTGCTTTTGTGCCTATTGACAATTCTTAGAACGTGCTCCTTGAAATTGACTTCTATGCTGCTCAAATGGAGACGTGAAAAAATGGGTTTTCATATTAATCATATAAGTAGACCAAGCTTGTAATAACAGCTCTACTTTTATTTGCTTACATTGCATTTCAGTTTATTTGATCTTTGTGGTAAAGAGTGTTGGGTTCTGATCCTTCTATTCTGTTAGAAGGACGGATCAAATCAACATTGCATTGGATAGAAGCTTGAAAGGGAAACCAAAACGGGCATGGTTGGACTTGATAAATAATTGTATGAAACTATTAAAATTTGTAAATATGATACGGATGAATAAGAATGAATTGAGGTGGAGGGTTTATGTACCCAACATAAATATATATGTTTCGGATCTTGTTATTGTACCCTTATATGTGGGATTAAGTCTTGTTGGTTCTGTTTTGGTCTTATTATGAGGGAACAATATAACATTTCATGTCTGGTATATTCTTTTAAGAATATTTTGTTAATTTATTCGAAGTATGGAGCCTCGAGTGAAGAGCAGGGAGCCCTTTGCTAGTCTCTTCTCATAGTGCTCCTGACATTAATTGTCCTGTTAATACTGAAATGGGTGATATAATTTCTTCTTCATTAAAAGTATTAACAGGTTACAAGTTTCACTCTTATTCTATTAAGAAATGGTACAGGTATTTAGAAGAGGCTAAAAAACAGCTAGCCTTAGATAAACTTGTATGACATGCAATCTTCTTCAAGAACAAGAGAATTGTAATAAACTAGTAATGGAAGAGATAAAATATTTAGAGATTATCTAGCATATAAAAGAACACATTCACATGTCTTGGTTTTTTGGAATGCTAGTTCTTTGATACCTTGAAACTGATACTATGTCTTCTCACAACCCCAACCGATTACTCATGCTATTGAAGTTATATTTAACAGCTTAGCAATGTTGCTGATAAGGAAACATAGATCATGCCATTGTCCCCGAATCAACAATCTGAATATTAGCTCACTGGTCCCTTTCTGATTTTGCTTAGTTATTGTTATTTGTCTGGTTTTGTTGCCGCCTTTTCAGCTTTTTCTGTACCAGGGTCATCCTACTTTTCTGATTATATATGTAATATAATCATCAGTACGGTTTAAAATTCTAACTAATATTACTTGGATTCAGGAGTAAATATGGCAACTTTGAGCCTTACCTCCCCTTACATTGTTAAATCTGCAATTTCCAATCGATCTACAAGAGCTATCGTCAAAGCCCCAACATCTCTTGGATCTGTTAAGAGCATCTCTAAATCTTTTGGCTTGAAGAGTTCCTCCAATTACAGAACCTCAATGGCAACCTCCTACAAAATTAAGCTTGTAGGACCAAATGGTGAGGTGAACGAGTTTGAAGCCACCCATGACCAGTACATTTTGGATGCAGCTGAGGAAAAAGGAGTTGAATTGCCATATTCTTGCAGGGCTGGAGCTTGCTGCACATGTGTCGGGAAAATAGTTTCAGGTTCTGTGGATCAATCCGATGGCTCTTTCCTCGATGAAAAACAAATGGAGGATGGTTATGTGCTGACCTGTGTTTCGTACCCAACCTCAGACTGTGAGATTCACACCCACAAGGAAAGCGAGCTCTACTAAGTATTTGTGGTCTGAAATGAGTACCAGTTTTCTGTGAACTCTTATATTAATTTGTCGGCAATAAGGGTAAATGACGATGCCCTTTATAAAGTGTTTTTTGCTGAAATGTCATATCAGCTCAGAAATTCAATCATATTTGTGGATTGGCATGGTTGGAGCTGGAGCCCTGTTCTGTGGAACTTCCAATATTATCTCTAATAACAGAAGCTCTTTTTTAAACTAATTTACAAATAATTTTTTTTTATCATAAAAATTAAGACAAACAAAGTTATAAAAAATAGGATTTGGTTTGGATGACTTTTAACTTTTTGAATAAATTATTTTAAAATAAAATAAAATGAAATACACTCGGTCAATATTCTAATTGAAATGACATTATTAGGTTATCATGATGAATGGATTCCATTTTCAGGAGAAGGGCTTGGGCTCCATTCTGAACTTCCAAAAAAGAATATCCTGGGCTTTATTCCAAAGTTGAAATGAACAAAACTTGTATGTCATTTGCAATTGGACCTACATTGCCAATAGTCTCAAAATCATGGCTAGTATTCAGTCCAGATGATTTTATAGTTATTCTTCTAAAAGAATAGCATGCTTCAAATATCAATTTTTGCAATTATTTCTTTTATATCCATATTGCTGTTCTTCTAGTAATTAAAAAATCAAAATAATGAACTATAAGTTAACAAAATGAATAAGAGCATGAGACAAAGTTGAGGATTTAATGTGGACCAGAGTTTATGCAAGAGAAAAAGGAGTGATAAAATGAAATTACCTTTTTCATTGACCACAACCTCACTAAAAATGATACAAAAGTAATGTTTTGAAGGGGTTGTGTTGCAGATTTGGACAACACCACCTCTCATATTTATGTGCCAATGCCCTATGGGCATTCTACTTTTTGTTTGTTTTGAAATTGACTGATTGATCAAAGTGCAAGATGGAAAACAAAGGGAAAAAATGAAAATGGATATGACCTTAGAATGAAATGAGTGATGAATGAGAGGACTTTGATCTCTCTCTCTCTCAATGAGTGAGTCTAAAGACACTTTCTTCTTTTTCCTTTTATATGCCCACAAAATGCCTTTGCCACTTATATCCATTTCTCACTTGTCTTTTTCGCTTTCTTATTTCACTGCATTTTATGTTATATAGGAAGCAAAGAGAAAATGTTGGCTTTCCAGGAGCAAAATTGGATGCGACTTTTCTTTAGGCAAAAAATTACCTTAGCTATAACAAGGTCATTTCAAATGCCTTTTTAGCATTGTAATATTAAATATATAAAAGCTCATTTCATCCAAAGTTTTTTAAAGTCTTAATTAATAAGATAATAGCATGGGAGTAGCATTTTAAATATAAAAAATTTATCCAAAAAAAAATGAGATTTACACTATGACTTTATAATTATAATTTTATTTAAATAATGAAAAATTGCACTATCAATGCATGAAAACAATATGTATTGAATAATTAACCAAAATAATCCTTGGATTATGTAAAAGGCCACAAATCGGATTTGCTACCTCTTCAATGGCCTAGATACGGAGGAGAAAATTGAAAAACAAAAGAGTGATAAGAAGGAGATAGGAGGTTACGGAACCCAAAAAAATCACTTTGATGAATTTAATTCGAATTTGGGTTCCACGATGACTATATTTGATTGGGTTTAAAAAAAACAATCAAATTAATGGTCAAATTGTTTTCCTCGTCTCTAATATGTTATCGTTTGCAAATTATATTTTTAAAATAAACGAATCAGTATTTTTAAAAATAATTCTTTTTACTAAAAAATAGAATAATCTTTAAATTTATAATAAGTGAAACTTGAATGATACACCACATGTAAAGTCCTCAAATTAATTCATATCTGATATCACCATTTCTTAACAAAAATAAATTCTTATAACTTTTTTCACTTGTGTTTAAGTAAAGGCAAAGAATAATAATTAAACTTATGATTCCATTTTTAGAACTAGATTGCTGCTATTGACCTTTCAGTTTTGTTTTTCTTAATTACGTGAATTATTGACCTAAAAAATAAATTAACAATGTAATATATTATATAATTTGCAATTAATAAATTGATAATTCTGCAATTTCTTCGCATGAATCATTTTAGCCACACTGAAATCAACTTATTAAAATAAATATTTAATAAGGCTCTTTCGTTTTTTTAAATAAAATAATTTTATCATTTAATGTGAAGGGTAATTCTGGAAGAGAGTAATGGAATAAACTGGACACGTGCAGGTGCTGAGGTGTCACTCGACCAGCTCAATGAAAGCGAGGGTGGCGGTGGCTAACGCGTGCGCTCTACTTAAGATTTGCGTCAGCACAATGAATATTTTATTTTGAAATTATTTTTAAAAGGACAAGGCATTTCATTTTTAAATTCTTCTCTTTATGCTGCTTGCCAACCAAATTTATTTCAATCCAATAAAAGATCTATTATCTGACACCTGTAAATGTGCCACGTGTGTGAATATTATTGGTTTCATCAGTGCCAAATTAGACATTTTTCACACACCACAATTCGCACACGGTTTATTTTCTAACCTGAAGTTCAAAATATTTTATTATATACATTTAACGAAGTAGATAAATTTAATTACTTTTATGTTAAATAGATATACTTATTTATATACATAAATAAATATAAAAGATCATATGAATATGGTTGGTGTATTTATCGAAAAATCTTTGATTTTTTATTATTTATGTGTCAGACACCGTTAGAGAAAATATTACGGATTTAGCATCCTTTGCAGAAAGGCGCGGCCCATAAACCGCGCCTTATGACAGCTGGAGCCACATCAGCGTAAGGCGCGGTGCATGGGCCGCGTCTTTCTGCCAGCTAACACACGCGCAAGAAAGGCGCAGTGCATGAGTCGCGCCTTTCATAATTGTATCCGAATTTTTCTGCTTTTAAACTTCCCCCTCGACTATAAATAAGGTCTCTCAACCCGTAAACATCACCCAACAATTCTTCTTATCTTTGTTTCAAAAATTCGTTCGATCTTTCGTTTTAAGGTAATTTTTTAATACATAATATTTTTTTATATATGATTATTTGAAAAAAAATATTGTACTAATTATTTTCTATTAATTTTTTTGTTGTTGTAAAATTGGAAAGTGAGATCATACATCGAAACATTTTTGCTGATACGGTAATAATATAAAATTATAGTATTTAAATTATTTACGTTTATTTGTAAAAACTTTATTGTGTTATATTTTAATCCATATATTATTTATTTGATTAGGCTTATTTCAGTTTTTTTTTTTGCAAATATAAGACTGTCTCCCTTTCAAACTCTCACAATGACGCGAATTTCAGCTATTGTTTACTATGGTGGAGAAATTCGGGAAGAAGAAACCGACGTTGTGTTCGTATTAAATTATTCTGTTAAAATATCCTTCAAGAGAAATATAACTCTTGAGGAGCTGATAACGAATATTTCAAGGAAGGTTCATGTTGGAAGTACTAGAAGATTGTCGTCGCTTCAGTACAGATTTCCAACATCAATGTTTCCGTTAACTTATACATCGTTCGAACTATCGAACGATGATGATGTTGAAATGACGGTTGATTCTCAAAATCATTATTCAGACGTCGATACAGAGATGTATGCAAAGTTTGTTGAAATACGTGCTGTTCGGGGTATGTCATTAAGCTTCCACTATGGGCTGACTCAACAAGCAATCAAGTTGACATCCTAACTACAGTAATTTGTAATGATTTTAATGCCATAATAGGAAATCCGCATCATGGTGACATCCCATCAAGTTAAATAGGGAGACATTCATCAGCAGCTCCTTACGATCTGTACTGAGGTGGGTCCACAAACAATCTGTGTGTCAACATCGCGTCCAGTTCAAGGGGAAGACATTCATCTGCCAATTTCTTTGATCAAAATATTGAGATGCCCTCGACGCAACAATATGTGCATTTTCCATTTGACACGATGGCTTCAAGCTCTAAGGGGAGGCATTATACTGCGAGCTTCTTCGATCTCAATGTCGAGATGCCTTCTAGTTCAAGGGGAAGACATGCAAGTACCAGGTTGTTCGACCTAAATGTGGACAGCGTGGAGGAACCCTCATCTCCACCAGAAGAACCGCTTCGTGAGCCAGGTGCGGATGGTGTTAAGACTGGACTATTCGTTCACCCAGAATCACTGTAGTTCAACTCCGATGATGATGATGTAGATGAAGTTCCCACAAATGTGGTACAAACGAACCTCCAGCACACATGTATGAAGCTGACTATGGTGCAATGTACGGGCCAGAATTACAATATTCGTAATTCTATTCAGTCCAGAGTCGACCTCTCTACGTCCGAAAAGTATGTCTTCCACTGTGTCCAACGTGAAAACGAATGCAATTGGATGGTTCACGTATCGAAGTGGAAGAGGAAAAATAATAGATGGGAACTAACGATATACAACGGTCCTCACACATGTTGTGATAGGGGGATTAACCAAGATCATCCCAACTTTTACTCCGAAATGATCTGCCAAGCCATCATGCCCATAGTAAAAGCAAGCTCCCATATAGCTATTGTTGTGTCAATTTCAGCTATACAATCGCAGTATGTATATTCTGTCTCATACAGAAAAACATGGTTGGCAAAGTAGAGTGCGATTAAAAAATTTCACGGCGAATAGGATGTATCTTACAACGAACTACCAAGTTGGTTTAGAGTGGTGTGGAGGTTGAATTCTAAGACAATTGTTGACTTCAAAACTTGCCATGTATACCATAATGATCGAGTTCTTCGCGATCGATGTCAATTCTACCGGTTTTTTTGGACTTACCTACAATGCATTAATGTTGTGAAATACTGCAAGCTTGTGGTCCAAATCGACGGGACATTCTTTTATGGAAAATACAAGAAAGTTTTACTATTAGCAGTTGTCTAAGATGGTAATCGCAACATTCTTCTAGTTGCTTTTGCCTTTGTTGAAGGAGAATATACCTATTCTTGGGCTTTTTTCCTTCGAAACTTAAGCTCACATGTTATCACGAAGGAAAAAATCTGTGTCATTTTAGATCGCGGAGCTGAGATTAAAGCAGCAATGAAGTCTTTGGGTCCAATGTGGCAACCACCC